CCCAACCAGCCCCCAAATCTATGATTTGTGTCCCTGAACTAGGACCTGGAAAGATAGAAGCTGAGTGATAATAGAGATAAAAAGTTGCAAACCACTGCTGCAAGCTTTCAGAGTGAGCTCCAGGCAAAAAGCAAACTTATTCTCATGGACTTAGATTCAAATAGATTTAAAAACACAACTGTTATATGAAAGGCTATTTTTCATTTTTAAGTACTACTGCAAAAACATGCACATTTTGAAGATAAGCTATTTTACATGGATCATCTTCAGAGCTAAAAATCAGACGCTAAGCTACTAATTTATAAAGATAAGTTTTTTTTTCCTTCAAACTTTCTATAATAATCTCAATGCTTACTGAATTCACATATCTGTGAATATGTTTTATTTTATACTAATGCAACATCTACATTAAAGGTAAAAGTTCTGAGCATATGTTCACAAGACAGAACTTTAAAGCTATGGAATAAGTGGTAATATTCATTTTTAAGATGTAAATAATTTGGAAACAAGTGAAACTAAGGTTCAATGTAGAGGTTCTTAAACCAATATAAACAAGTCTTGATTAATCAAATCAGGACACCAGGCTTAGTATTCTAGCCTATTAGTCATTTGACTTTCTACTTAGTACTCTTACAATAGTGGCTGCAGAAAAAAACAGGTAACTCAAACCAGTTAAGTTTTACCTTCAGTCACAGCTCTGGAGGAGGCTGGGGGAAAGAAAGAAGCAGGAAGTAAGATTTGGATGCAGATTATTTATAAAATACTAGGCAGTTAATTTGAGCTTTTCCTGTTCTGTATCACCACACATCAAAGTTGACTGTATATTTTACACATAAAATGAAAACAGATGTATGAGTATATTAGAAAAATGATACATGCTAACCTAAACATAGGCAACAAATTATCACCCTTATCCATCCTTCTGTCTTAGTCTCCCAACAAATAAACAATGTTCCTGTTAAATGTTAATAAATACATTTGGCATTATAAATTTCAGAACCAGGTCTGGTACAGGAAGATCCTAAAAGAGCACTATATTATATATATATATGAAAGCTATAAAATTCTCTAAGAAACCAATCGATAGACTGTGACCAGTGGAAAGTGTCTTTGGAATTCTACCTTTGGGAAAAAGGTAGAATTACGACACTCAACTGTAAACTTCACCTAATAATATTAAACATAATAGTATGAGCATAATACACAGAGATAATCATTTTTCCAACATACAGGACATTGTTTACCTAGTAAATTAACTTGGCTACAGAAGAGGTTCACTGTTAAAACTTCTTCTATCTATATAACTAAAAGTCACTTGTTGAGGCCTGCCCAGAGTCAAATCTCCCCTTTCCCAGAAACACTTAGTGTGTCTGAAATGTGGATGAATGTGATCCACTAAGAGAATCAGGAAAGATTAAAGGTTCTTGATGCCATACTAAGGACTTCTAACTTTCTCTAAGGAATGTTAAACCACTGAAAGATTTCAAAAATAGAAACCACAGGAGTGTACTTCTGAGTAATAAAGATCCTGGTGACAGTGTTGAAGGCAGGGGAGTGAAGTGACACTGGGGGTGGAATCATAATTAGGAAATAATTACAAGGACTTAATTAAAGGGAGACTTTGGAAGGCAGTGAACAGAAATGCATACACCTAGAAATTTCATTTCTAGATATGAACCCAGAGAAATAATCCTACATAATAATGAAGACTTTTTTCTGGAATGTTCACCATGCAATTTTTTTTTCCAAAAGCAAAAACTTCAATGACCACCAATAGGGGAATGAATAGATATGGATGGAATAGCATATTATAGCTAAAAGGAATGAATTATATGTGTATCATTGAGCCTCTTGATGGAAGGTGAAAGAGGAGAGCAAAAATGCTGGCTTAAAACTCAACATTCAAAAAACTAAGATCATGGCATCTAGTCCCATCACTTCATGTCAAAGAGATGGGGAAAAAAATGAAAGCAGTGACGGATTTTATTTTCTTGAGCTCCAAAATCACTGTGGATGGTGACTGCTGCCATGAAATTAAAAGACGCTTGCTCCTTGGAAGAAAATCTATGACAAACCTAGACAGCATATTAAAAAGCAGGGATGTTACTTTGCCAACAAAGGTCCATCTCGTCAAAGCTATGTTTTTTTCAGTAGTCGTGCATGGATATGACAGTTGGACCATAAAGAAGGCTGAGCGCCAAAGAACTGATGCTTTCGAATTGTGGTGTTGGAGCAGACTCTTGAGAGTCCCTCGGACAGTAAGATGATCAAACCAATCAATCCTAAAGGAAATCAACCCTGAACATTCATTGGAAAGACTGATGCTAAAGCTGTAATACTTTGGCCACCTGATGCAAAGAGATGACTCACTGGAAATGATCCTGATCTGGGAAAGACTGAAGGCAAAAGGAGAAAGGGGGAGGCAGAGGATGGATGAGATGGTTAGACAGCACCACCTACTCAATGGACATAAATTTGAGCAAACTCAGGGAGATAGTGAAGGACAGGGAAGCCTGGTGTGCTGCAGTCCAAGGGGTTGCAAAGAGTCAGACACAACTTAGCGACTAAACAGCAACGTTGTGGCTTGATTTCAAAAATCAAATGAAAAAAGTTGCAGAAATATGTATACTATAGTATATTATGCATCAAAATCAAAACAGATAAAACAGCATGATATACTTTGTTTACCTACAATGGCTACATTTCCTGACTGCTTTTTCTGTGCCAGACACTGTTCTAAGCAGTTTGGACTAATGCACTTATTCCTCAGAACATCCTTATGCTATAGGTACTATTATCCTCAGATGGGGAAACTGAGACATGGAATTTAAGGATCTTCACAAAGGCCTGCAGATTGGAAGTGACAGAGACAAGATTCAAACGTAGGCAGCCTGGTCCAAAATGAAAAAGCAAAGGTGTAAGGATTCATGACAAATCCCAGTGACTGTCTATTCAGGAGAAGAAGGATATCAGAGTAGGGGAGTAGAGCCATACAGAGACTTTAACCATACTTGAGATACTGTTTCAAGGATATATTCAAACACAATATTACAAATAAAATGAACACAATGTTCATTTTCCCCCATAAAAAAGTAAAGATACAAAAAAAGTTTGGGGAAAAAGATGCTCAAGTGTCCATCCTGTTTGACTATGCCTGGTGGGAGTATGGGGACTGTTCTTTTCTTCTTATAATTTCTTTGCTGTTTTCTGTTGCAACAAGCAAAAATGTCTCCAGACATGGTCAAAAAGTCCCCTGGGGGGCAAAACTGCCTCAGGTGAGAACTATCTTAATACATCATGCACAATGCCAGGCTGGATGAAGCACAAGCTGGAATCAAGATTGCCGGGAAAAATATCAATAACCTCAGATACACAGATGACACCACCCTTATGGCAGAAAGTGAAGAAGAACTAAAGAGCCTCTTGATGAAAGTGAAAGAGGAGAGTGAAAAAGTTGGCTTAAAACAACATTCAGAAAACTAAGATCATGGCATCTGGTCCTATCACTTCATGGCAAATAGATAGGGAAACAACAGAAACAGTGAGAGACTTTATTTTCTTGGGCTCCAAAATCACTGCAGATGGTGACTGCAGCTATGAAATTAAAAGACAATTGCTCCTTGGAAGAAAAGCTATGACCAACCTAGACAGCATATTAAATAACAGAGATATTACTTTGCCAACAGAGGTCCTGTCAAAGCTATGGTTTTTCCAGTGGTCATGTATGGATATGAGTTGGACTATAAAGAAAGCTGAGAGCCGAAGAATTGATACTTTTGAACTGTGGTGTTGGAAAAGACTCTAGAGTCCCTTGAACTACAAGGAGATCCAACCAGTCAATCCTAAAGGAAATCAGTCCTGAATATTCATTGGAAGGACTGATGCCGAAGCTGAAGCACCAATACTTTGGCTTCCTGATGCAAAGAACTGACTCATTGGAAAAGAGCCTGATGCTAGGAAAGATTGAAGGCGGGAGGAGAAGGGAACTACGGAGGATGAGATGGTTGGACGGCATCACAGACTCAATGGACATGAGTTTGAGTAAACTCCAGGAATTGGTGATGGACAGGGAGGCCTGGTGTGCTGCAGTCCACGGGGTTGCAAAGAGTCGAAAACGACTGAGCGACTGAACTGAACTGAACACGCTTTATATCTTTAAACTTTATATAACTGTTTCAAAGATTTCAAAGTTAAATCTTTTAAGTATCTCACACTCCAAGTGAGAAAGATGCTGCAGAAGTGAAGGAAGTTGCAAGTGAAGTAATTCCCAAATAGAGAAAGCACTAGGAATAATCTAGTTGTCATTCCAGAGAAAGAGGTGAACAGGCCTGGGGATGCCCACTTCCTAACCGCTCTTCCGCAATAACGGGACTAGGGGAGCCAAGCCCAGCCCCGCTACCTCTAGGCGAAGATCGGGTCAGGGAACAAGCCGCCAGCCCTACCTCTATGCGTGAGGCCCTCGCTCAACACAATAGGAACAGCCCGGCAGCAGCAACGCCAAAAATACTTACAGTGTCCTGCAGCTCCAAACCTCCCGCCTGCGCGCTGCATCTTGGGAGGTCCAGGCCGGAGGCTGCGTCCAGCGCAAAGGAGGCGGAGCCTGCCCCACGGGCCAGAACTCGGTTGCCGTGGGAGCCTGAGGAGGCGGGGCCCCCGGGGAATGTTGTAAAAGTGAATGGCAGGCGGAGCTCGCAAGGGCGGACCTCTGCAAGGGAAGAGCCCGAGATTCGCGGGCTGGCAGGGGAGGGTCCGCAGTTCAGGGGACGTCGGGGACGGGGCCCGAACGTGAAGCGAATGGAAAGCCAGGTTGAAGGCCTGGTCCCGCCTCCAGACCCGAGCGGACGCACCAGATTGGGCGGCGTGGCGACGCTTCCGCCCTCCTTCCGTTGTCACGCGACCGCCTCCACCTCCCGCCCTTCCCTCTTTACCTCCTGGCCAGCTTGCCCAGTGCTGAGCTATTGGGACCGCAGCTGTGGAAAGGGGCGACGCCAACTCTGATCATGTCCACGACCGCGACTATCGCCGAGGTGAGGCGCTGACCGCATCACTGCCGGGCCCCTCCATCCCGGACCCCGAAGCAGCCTCTGAGGCTAGGGGGCCGCGCGCCCAGGTGCAGGTGGGCTGGGCTGAGGGGCAGTGGGATGATGCCTGTAACGTCTAAGCGTTCCCTCGTGTCTCTCTTCTAGTATCAAGCCCAGAATAAAGCCAAGCTCATCTCTGAGGTCCGACGGAGGTTTGAAGCTGAGTATGTGACAGGTGGGTACCGCGATCTTGGTGTTGAGGCAGGTGTGCCATGAGCGGCCCCAACTTTGCTCAGATGTTTGCTTGGGTCTCTGTGGAAGCCTTTAGGGGCCATTTCGATCCTCACGAGGACCGTGCCTTCCACGTTTTCTAGGTTTTCTCTCCGTAGTATGGCAAGGATACTGCTCCAGTTGGGCAAGTGACGTGTCTCTTGCTTCCTAAAGGGTTAATGTGAGTTGGAAATTTGTGTTTCGAGTATCTCGAGTTTATGGAACTTTCAGGACACTTGTTAGGCCCTCAGCTCAGGTGACGCCGTTCCTCTGCTGACCTGTCAGGAACAACAATCGAGATAATGAACCTGGAAATTGCCGAAATTCTATTCACGTGTGCTTAATTGGGTATCTGAATCCCTTGGTTAGTTTGCCTAATTCCCCTTTATACAACCCAGCAGGCACCCGCGAAGTAGGCCCCCCTGTGCTGGAGCAGCTTCTTTTCATCTCACAATGTACCTAGCAAAGTACCCGTGCACCCCAAATTGATTTATTGGGTGAACTTCTCTGTCCACATGTCACAGATAACTGGAGTTGTCCAATATTTAACTGATGATTTAATACCTGTACAGTAATTTTCAAAATCCTGCAGGATAATTTACTGTAAGTAGGGACCAAAGTCCAATCCTGACCCTGCCTCTTAATAGCTTACTTGTCTTTTCTGAGCCCCTGATTCCATATTTGTGAAGTTTGACTAACGAGGAGGATTAAATGAAAATATGTATAGCAAACTGTGTAGCATGGGGTTAGCATATAGTAGGCTCTCAGTAAGTAGTTTTCCTCAGTAGTCTTTTTGGTTACATGAAAGAAGTTCAGCTTCTACATCCTGACTTCAGTCCTGAGGGTTCCCTGCAGCTTTAGATGCCACTAGCTTGTATGTCAGTTGATGACCTAGAACAAATAAAGAAATCTGTTCCAAATAACCTGGTCAGTAAATCTGTTCATCCCTCCCTGTCAATTTTCTTCACACCCCAAATCTTGTACCAGAGAGTTGCAAAAGCATTTAATTCACTTTTAGCCCAATGAGATAGCTGGTTCCAGTAAAGAGAGAATTCTAAAATTGATTTCTATGGAAACATAATTCTTAGCTGTATAGTTTATAATATTGTCAGAAGTAACCCGGAACTTGACCTAATGTGCTAGTACTCACCAATAGTTGTTTACTTAGGCCCAAGGGAGGAAGCAGGATATAGCCAGGAGAATTTAGTAATAGATAAAATCTTAAAGGTCATCTCCGTCCAGCCTTCTCATTTTTACAATGAAGAAAGTGAACTCTGGAGAGAGTAAATGATTTGCTCAGACTCCTTGGTAGCTAAGATGGGGCTGGGTTTCTGAATTCACTGTAGTAATCTTTTGGCAACACCAGCATATCTAGTTAGATCATGGTCCTCCCCAGTTTGAAACCCTCTAGTACCATTCTACTGTATTTAGGGAAAAAAAATCTCAAATTATTTTTGGTGACCTGCAACACCATCCTCATGTTACTACTTGGTCAGTGCAGATTTCACCACTGCCCACAGTAAGAAATGTATTATATATTGCAGTCTAGTACACACATTACCTAAGCAACAGTTCATTAAAGAATACTTATGTTGAAAACCTATGACTCCCTGGTACACTGATGCACAAAATTAACATCATAACCTACAAATGTGACCCACAGAATAGTGTGACCAGCTTCTTTTATGCCCTTTAAACTGACTTGAGTCTGTTTCCATCTTGGGACTTTTCCATTTCTCTGCCTGGAAGACTCTACCAAGCATAGCTAGGTTCTGCTTCTCCATCTTGGTTTAAATGGATCTGAGAGGCCTTTGCTGTTTTTATTAAATGGCCTCCCTGTCTTTTCTTTCTGGTTATCACCTGTAACCTTCCTCGTTCATTTGTTGACTTATTATTGTTTATTTCCTTCAGCAAAATGTGGGTCTGGGGCAACCTGTGGGCCTTGAGGGCAGGGTCTGACTCATCTCTATATACTTAGCATAGTTCTCAATACATAGTCATTGACTGAATATAGCAACACTTAAATATAAATATATATATTCATATGAAGATGAGTCCAAGTCTGTATGAAGAGCTGTCCTGTCTCCTCTCCCCCACAAAAATCTGGCAGAGAGCAGCCCTCACAAAATGTCTGATAAAGACCAGTGTTATTTCAAAGTAAAGCACTGTCTGGTATTAAGTATAAGGAGGATTTTGTCACACCTGGGTATGTGTGAATGAGTTATCTGCGTAGCCATGGCAAATACTGATTGAATTAATTTGAAGACTTGAATTGGTAAGGAAAAGAAAAATTCTTGAGACTTTCTCCCCTTAAAGTTTCCGTTGTTTCGTGAAATAGAGCATTGGGTATAGGTACAGTAGGAAACTGGGACAAAGGGTTGTATGATTTGCCTGTGTTCTCCCTTTCAAGTTGACTTTTTACAAGTTAGTTAGGTGTTGAGAACAACCACTTTCCTCCTTCCTCTTTGATTTTCCCCTTTCTCTCACCATTAACAATATTTTGTTTCAGAAGTGGCTTTAGGTAGACTTAAGCAAACATGTTTTTCCTAAAGGAAAATATTATCTGCAGTGTATCAGTTTACACACTGGCTGAACTCCAACAGCTCTTTTGGGGGTGGGTTCTTGGAAACTCCAGGCATGTTTTTGTTTCCACAGAGATTATTAACCAATTATGGATAGATTTGTAGCTGCAGAAAGAACAAATTTGAAGGTCATAATTGTTGTAGCACTGCTAATTGTCCTTTTTATCCCTCATTGTTTCTCTGAGAAATTTCATGCTGAGTCTCAAATGAGAAACTTTTCCCATTCTCTCTTCCTCCTTCTTGTGTCCAGGGCAAGAGACTAGTCTCTTGTGACAAAAATTTATTCAGTTCCTGTTTAATTCTGGGAAGCAGTGTGCCAATATTAGAGATAGAGCCCCTTCCTGAACTCCTACTACAATCTAGTAAAGGCGTGAAGACAGAAATACTAAAGGCAAATGCTGCCCAGAGGAATAGGAATGCTAAAATCATTTCTGTAGGAGTCCAAGACCAGGAAAAATCACATCTAATTTGGGTGACCGGGTTAGCCCAGAGTTGGAAAAACCTTCTCAGAAAAGGCAGTGTTTCTCAAGAACTTTGGAAGATGCTAGAACTCGGCCAGCCAGATAGCGAATGTGATTCAGGTGGATCAAATAGTCCAGGTTGAGATGCTTAAGTGAGAAGGTATGGGGCATGTTTGAGAAGCCAGAGGAAGTCCACTTTGATGATCCTTAAAGAGAGTATTGGGAGTATAGTGTGGAGATCCATGGCCCCTGAAGCAATACATTTGTACTTTAGTGAGTTTGAAAAACAACTGAGGTTTGTGGGTTTTATTGTTTTAGGTTTGTTGTCTGATTCTACAAGTATGTGAATTTATTTAAATAAATTTGTGTTATACCAAAAACTGTCCAGAGGATCTCCCATAAACTTATCATAAAGAGATATAGCTCTTACAACAGTGAACGAACTTTTTTCTGTACATTAAAACAAACACTTAAAAGATCATTCTGTATGTGGTTTTCTGTGTTCTATTTTTTATTGTCATGATTTTATTTCCCCATATTAGGAAGTAATCAACATTTAATATTACTTAATATTCAGTTCTGTAAATAAAAGAGAATTTTCTTTTATCTGAAATAGCCTCTTTTGGACACTTAGATTTTTTCCTGTTGTTTTTTTTTGTTGTTGTTATTGTTTGTTTGTTAATATGATATTTTGTGCAGTAGTTCAGTTTGTTTCCTGAAGAGTCATGTCTAGAAGTAGAATTATTGGTTTGAAGAGTGAATAGTTTAGGACACTTGACATGTGTGTTTAATTCTCCTCCATATAAATTGCACCAAGCTTAATTCCCACCAGTACATAGGAAAGTGTTAGGGTCACTACAGCCTTACCCAGATTAGGATCGTTTCTTAATGCTTTTTTCTTGGTTTTAATTTGCATTTGATTACTAGTGAGAATAAACTTCATATATTTATATCCATTTGTAGTTTAAAATTCTTTTTTTCATTAGTGTGTGGCTTTTAAAATTGGTTTGGCCTTTTCTTGTTTGTCACTCTGACTTTTTTTCATTTTTTGAATGAATGTATTCAAAATTACCCACTCCTTTGTGGTTTCTTCCATTGCTGTTACATTAAATAATTGTCTTTCATTCAGTAACTTTGTCTAGTGCTGTTGTTCTGTGTTGCTCTCTTATTTCTTAATTTTGAAGTATATTTTACATACAAAATATATAAAACATAAAATAAACACCCATATACTCACTACTCAGAAATTTCTGTGTATCCCTGACCCTGCCATTCACAGGGTAGTTGCTGGTCCTGCATTTGCTGTTACTCAGTCTCTTGCTTTTCATTAGCTTTGCCACCTGTGATGTATTCCTGACCACTACTTTATTAAGTTTACCTCTTTTTTGAACTTGAAATAAAAGCTGAATATATTTCTCCATGACTTGCTTCTGTTGCTCAAGAGTCATTCTTATTGTAGTTGATTCCTTTTTACAGTCATGGTGTTATCAACAGTTCACAGAATGAAAATACCAGTTGATGAATTTGGGGTTCTTTCTAGATTTTACTACTATGTACAATGCTGCTATAAACATTCTTAAACATATGTGATGCCTAGATTTTGTCTAGAGCAGTGGTTCTCAAAATTGGTCTAGGAACTATAGTTTCTTGAGACAGTTTCAAAGAGCTTCAGAGTCCAAACTAGTTCCATAATAACACTTTAAGACATCATTTTCCTCTTTCACTGGCATTCTCTCACAAGCATACAGTGGGGTTTCCCAGAGGTTACATGGCATGTGATGATATTACTCTGACAGATGATAGAATACAGTGCTTGTGTGTCATTATATTTAAATTTTTTCTCAGTTATGAGAAAATGTAGTAACTACCAGTTACCAGTTACCTAATGTAGTAACTACCAGTAAATACAACCCACAGAAACA